GGGACCTGGCGTCTCTGGAAACCACAGATCAAAAGCTAGTCAAGTGGTTTCCGTGACAGGAGCAGCTGTGCCTAACCCGATTTTCCTAATTATCCTCTAAATGGGATGCATCCTTCGAGTCACAGAGGCTGTGTGTACTGCATACTAAGAGGCAGAGGATCGTGTCTGCGGAGATGGGAGCGAGGTTCTTATTTCTGCATCCATTTAGGTGCTTTCTTTGGACTAGATTAGTGTTTATGTTTGCTGAAGTCTGGCATTTTGGAAAGTCTTACTTGAACCACATTAGACATCAAGGCAAGCCAGCCAGGAGGGAGAGCTTGAGGAGGGGTAGGCCAATATTTCATTTTCCCTTTCTCTCTATGAAGAAAATGCAAATGAAACCATAGACATCAAAGAAGCGTGTGTGTGTGTGTGTGTGTGTGTGTGTGTGTGTGTGTGTGTGTGTTTCTGGGTTCACTCAGGGTGGGGCACATGTACACGTGTGAATGTGCTTGTGGAAGCCAGAGGTCAACCACCTTGGGTACCATTCTGCGGGACCTGTCCATCTTTTAAAACACCTTTAAGGCTGGGTGGTGGTGGCTCACGCCTTTAATCCCAGCACTCAGGAAACAGGCAGGTGGATCTCTGTGAGTTCGAGACCAGCCTGGTCTACAGAGCAAGTTTCAGGGCAGGCTCCAAAGCTACCCTGTCTTGAAAAACAAAACAAAAGCATCTTTAAGATTTTCTTCTTTATGTGTATGTATATGTGCACATGTGTGTATGTCCCCTTGAAGGCCAGAAGAGGTCTTCAAATATCCTGGAGGTGGAGTCATGGGAGGTCGTGAGCTTCCATGTGGGTGCTGGGAACCAAACTTAGGTCCTTTTGCAAGAGCATCAAATGCTCTTAACTGCTGAGGTGTCTCTATAGCCCACCCATCCATCTTTTTTGTTTGTTTGAAACAGGTTCTCCCGCTGGGACCAGGACTTGCTGATTAATCTAGCCAGGCTGTCCAGTGAGCCCCAGGGATTGGAGCATCTTTGCCTCCTAAGGGCTGGGATTATGAATGTGTACCTCTACACACAGCTTTTGATCTGAATGCTGGGGGCTGAACTCAGGTCCTCATGCTTGTGTGGCAAGGTATCTCCTCCTCAGCCTCCACGGATGTTTTCAGTTGCTGTCAGTGGCATTTATGGGATGAAAATCCATTTTTAACCGTTGCAAGAGTCTTAAATCATCTTCCAAACTGCATTGACTAGGGAACCACCTCATCTTGCAGCAAGCGGGGCGTGAAAAATGGGAGAATGTGCAGCTCTCAGCCCAAGAGGCTGCAAAAGGCACATCTCACTAGGGAAAGTGCTACAAACTTCAGCATGAAGCAAGTATCTCAGACAGTGGATTCTGGCTAATGCAACTCAAATGCCAGGACCCCTCTGTCCTGGATAGCCCATGTCAGTTTCCCTGACAACAAACATCCCCTGTCTGTGGCTTCTCCTCTTGAAACATAGAAGCCCCTGTGAAGAGCTGGGCGTCAGCTCCCTCTTCATGATGTATGGCATTTTAAAAAGCAGGAACAGGGCTGGAGAGATGGCTCAGCAGTTACGAGTATACACAACTTGTCTTTTCTATTGCTGTGACAAAACACTATGACCAGCCAGGCAGTGGTGGTGCACGCCTTTAGTCCCAGCACTCGGGAGGCAGAGGCAGGCAGATCTCAGTGAGCTCAAGACCAGCCTGGTCTACAAAGCGAGTTCTAGGACAGCCATAACTATTTCACAGTGAAACCCTGCCTGGAAAAGCAAACAAAAACAAAAGAAACAAAATAAAACATTATGACCAAGGCAACTTATAAAAGACAGCATAATTAGGGCTTATAGTTCAGAGACTGAGCCCATGACCATTATGGCAGCAGGCAGGCAGGCATGGTGCTAGAGCAGTAGTTGAGAGCATAAGACACAAGAGACAGCTAATTGGAAATGGCATGGGATTTTGAAATCTCAAAGCCAGATCCTGATAACATGCCTCCTCCTACAAGGCCACACCTCCTCCTTCCCAAACAGTTCCACCAACTGGGTCCTAAACATTCGAATATATAAACGAGTCTATGGTGACCATTCTCATTTAAATCACCACACTGCTCTTGCAGAGGACCTGAGTTTGGTTCCTAGTACTTATGCCACCTATAACTCCAGCTCCAGGGAATCCATACTTTCTTCTGGCTTCTGAGGCACCTGCACTCATGTGTACAAACCCACACAGACATTCACACATATACATAACTAAAAACAAAATAACTTTTTTTTTTTAAGGCAGGGTTCCACTTGTCTCAACAATATTCAAATTAGAAACCACCAAAGGAATTTGATACTTTTTTTTGTGCTTACTGGTCACTGATGAAATAGTCACATCGTTTTCTAGTCAGTGGCTCATCCCTGTGCCCAGGACATCTGCGGATGCTTCAGTCTCCCACCTTGGCTGTCCTGTATCCTACCAGGACCAAGGCAGCTCTCTTCCATTTTCTTTCTGGTTCCCAGTCCCCAGTTCCTTCTCTCTTGCTCCAGACTAGCCAGTGACCTTTTATCTGGGGTACACTGAGGCCTCACGAAACAGCTTGAATGTCTTGCGTGTACTCCTCCAGTGGAACAGATTCTAAGAAGCCACAGAAGCCAGAGGCATGGCAGTCTGTTTCCAGCTCAGGCCTCACGAAACAGCTTGAATGTCTTGCGTGTACTCCTCCAGTGGAACAGATTCTAAGAAGCCACAGAAGCCAGAGGCATGGCAGTCTGTTTCCAGCTCTCAGGTCCCAAAGTATCTGCCTTGCTCAGCTGTGTCCCCATCTCACAGATTAGTCACTGCATCTGTCAGTGTTCTTCCCAGCTTGTTAGTAACATCCAATTCTCTCTTGAGATGGAGAGGCCTTTAAGAACCCTCTGGACCTTCCCATCCCCAATCCTGGCACGCACTCTGCAAGGTTTGCCAATGTCCTCTGAAAGTTTTCTCCTCTCTGTCCTCCTTCTGTCTGCCATACCCTTGTCATGTATGTTAGTTGTTTTCCCTGTTGCAAATGCAACTTAGGGTTTATTTTGGCTTGCAGTTTGAAGGTGGAGCAGGCATGGTGACGGGAGTGTGAGGCAGCTGTTCAGATTGTACCCACAGTCAGGAAGCAGAGAGAGACCAATGCTGGGACCCCATTTCCTTTCTCCTTTGTATTGGTCAGGGTTCTCTAGAGGAGTGGTTCTCAACCTTCCTAATGCTGTGTGACCCTTTAATACAGCTCCTCATGTTGTGGTGACCCGAACCATAAACTTATTTTCATTGCTACTCCATAATTTTGCTACTGTTATGAATCAAAATGTAAATATCCACGTTTTCTGATGGTTTTAGTTGACCCCTGCAAAAGGGTCATTTGACCCCCTAAAGGGGTCAAGAGGCCACTATTGCTCTAGAGGAACAAAACTGATTGTGTGTGTGTGTGTGTGTGTGTGTGTGTGTGTGTTAGAGTGGCTTATAGGCTGTGGTCCAGCTAGTCTAATAATGGCTTTCTACTAGTGGAAAGTATAAGAATCTAGTACTTGTTCAGTGCATGAGGCTCAATGTCTCATCTGGTTTTTCAGTATATGCCAGAATCCTGAAGAAGTGAGCTTCTAATGCCAGTGAAGGAATAGATTCGCCAGCAAGAGCAATGGGAGGCAGGAAAAGAGAAAAAAAAAAAAAAAAAACAAAAAAACTTCCTTCTTCCATGTCCCTTATATAGGCTGCCAGAAGATCTGGATTTAGGGTGGTTCTTCCCACCTCAAGTGATGTAATTAAGGAAAAATCCCTCACAGGTGTGCCCAGTCAGGTAGGTTTTAGCTAATCTCAGATGTGGTCAAGTTGATAACCAAGAACATCCAGCAGACCTTTTTATTCAGTTTAGAGTCCAGCTCCTGGGATGGTGCTGCCCAGAGTAGGCAATCACATGGGAGTTTGCAGTTCTGAGATTTCCTTGATCCTGGGGTCTCAGAGTCTCCCCAGTGCTTAAGAGAGAAGCAGCTTCAGCACTGAGCAGTAGGCCAGGGAAAGCCACATGGCCTTTGGTGCCAGGAGGGTGGCTCTGTAGAGAAAGGAGCTGCCAGGACCTGGCATAGGCAAGAGATGCCTGTCCCTGCCTGAGTTTTCTTTATCTCCTAGTGAAAGGAGGTGATTCTTTTCCTTGTCTCTGGAAACCATGCCTCCCTAACAGTCTTGTTCCCTGTTTTATCCTAAATCCTGGCCCTCTGTTCCTTTGAGCCCTACTGGAGTCACCACTGCCCCTGTTCCACCCTTGGCTTGTAACTCCATAGGTAGTGGGCATCCCATTCCCCATGACAAATTCCAAGAGGGGGCTGCTTTTTTACCCTTTCTGCCAATGTGAATTGTAAATATTTCCTGCCCTGAACTTTATCCCAGGCTAGGTCCTGATAGTTCCTATCTCTGCTGAGCCATGCACCCACCCGCCTCCTACAGCCACAGGCCATTTGGCTCTCCCTCTGCGTATGCCTGCCTTGTCTGCTGCTTCTACCCCCAACCTCTCTAGAAACCCTTTCACTTCCCTCCTAGTAAGGCTTCCTGCCTGGCCTCATCCCTGTTAATCATCTTCTATTCCCAGGTCAGCAACAATCAATTTTGCACAACTCAAACCTAGCCATGTTAGGCCAGCATCCATCCCTAGGCAAGTGTTCTTCCTCCAGGTGCCCTCCTGATTCTTCCTGCTGGGAAGCCTTTGGCTGAGCTTGCCTTGAAGGAAGGGTGTGTGAGGCCACTGTCCCACAAAGGCACCCACTATACCCCAAGCATCGACCTAATAAGGGATGTTAGGGATCCTGGCAGAGACTCAACAGCTGACTTTACATATTTATGGGACTAATTGATTCTGGGCTTCCAGCACGCTGAGGCCGCACAAAAGGGGGCGGTGGTGCCTGGCACCACACGCAGGGTCCCACTGCGTTGCGGGTGGGGAGCTCAGCCGCAACACCAGACCTCGAGGTCAGTAGGCAGGGGCGGGGAAGCCGCGGCCGCGCCCTCCTGGCCACTCCCCGGCCGGCGGTGGGTGGCGCGCACTCGCATATGTCCTCCGCGCCACCGCGATCGCCCACCCCGAGGGCCCCCAAGATGAAGAAGGACGAGTCTTTCCTGGGCAAGTTGGGTGGCACGCTGGCGAGGAAGAAGAGGACCAGGGAAGGTGAGTGCTCCCCCGTGTCCTCTTGGCGCCAGCCGGGTGCCAGCGATGTCCCCTTCCCTGTCCTCTTCTGCTGCTCCTCTGAGCCCTCCCTCCGCGCCCAGGCTGCACTGCCCGCCACCTTTGGATCAGGCCGGTCCTTGTCCCTGCGACCTTTGCAGTGCTGGCCCGGTGCCCAGGACGTGCGTCCTGCTCTGGACACAGGCTGAGCAGGGTATGGTTCTCGTGCCTACCCTTGTCGTATGACACTCTCGTCACAGTGATTGGACACATGCGTGGTGGGGAGGGCCGGCTGCTGACTGTTTGATGTCGGCACGCGTGGCTTGGTCCCTAAGCTGGGGAGTCAGTGAAAAGGCACAAGTGAAAGGAAGCCTGGAACCAGGGCCACGAGCCCCCCCACCCCCACCCCAGGCCCCCAATCGTGCACGTTGCACAGGAAAGTAATTTTAAAACGACACCCCTTTACTTTTTAAACTTTAATAAAACAGAATTTCAAGGGATGTAACTTCTGCTCCTGGGCCAGTGCCTCAGTCATACTGCAGTTCCTAGTCCTTCTCTTGCAGAGACATTCCTGACTTTTCTATTGTTTTGGCCTGGAGGCTCCTGCCCTTGGGCTGAGGTTCCTGGCGCTCACAAGGAATGGGAGGGGCTTGCTAGGGAGAAAGGGCAGGTAGAGAGAAGCCCCAGAGCCCGGCTTCCTGGGGATTAGTTGGCTAGGGATTATCTGATAGGCTGCGCAGAGGGTCTCCTCCAGCCACTGGGGCAAGCTTACTCCTAGAAAGTCTTCCTGGACCTTAAGGGACAAACTAGTCCCAGGAAGTTGACTGATAATCACCCAGTGCTCCCGAAGGACAGCAGTGATATATTTAGTGTTAAAGGAACTTCAAGCCCTAAATTATGGGCAGACTCACTCTGGCCTTTCAAGGCATCTTGAAAGGCAGGGCATGTAGGGAAATGCAGAGCTTGTCTGAAGTGTGATACTACCTAAACTTTGATAGAACCCATGAAGATCCTGTGGCCCCCCCCACACCCTGCCCAGACTTGCCTTCCCAGACCTTCAACCCCATAATGCCCTTTACCAAACTAGATAGTCCAGTTCCCTGCGGGCAGGGAACTGGTCTCCCCGCCTTCAACCCCATAATGCCCTTTACCAAACTAGATAGTCCAGTTCCCTGCAGGCAGGCACTGGTCTCCCCACCCCCTCTCAAATCTTCTGTTGCAGACCCTCCAGGTTGGCTTGCATTGAATTCATCGCCATCAGTGTAGTGTAGTCATTGTGATCCTGCCTACAAGTCGGTTCTCTTCCTCTTACATGCTATGACAAGGGTGGACCTGCATTCATTCCATCATTGGGTTTTGTTTTTGTTTTTGAATTGGGGTTATGCTATGCCACCACCTCTGGACTCAAAGTCCTGGATTTAAGTGATCCTCCTGCCTCAGCCTCCCCTGTATTGGGAACTGTGGGTGTGTTGCTACCGGATTGTGGCTTATCATCTATGTGAATCCTCAGGGTCCTGGGAGTGGATGCCATAATGTGGAAGCCGATGGGAAGTCCCATGATCCTAAGCTGTAATTGTCAGAGGGCTGGGGAATGGGGGTGGTGATGTTGAGGATGAAACCCAAGAAAGAAAATCTTTCATAGCCGGCCGTTGGTGGTACATGCCTTTAATCCCAGCATTCGGGAGGCCGAGACAGGCGGATCTCTGTGAGTTCGAGGCCAGCCTGGTCTCCGAGTGCCAGGGCAGGCTCCAGAGCTACACAGAGAAACCCTATCTCGAAAAACCAAAAAAAACAAAAACAAAAACAAACAAACAAACAAAAAAACAACAAAAAGAAATCTTTCATAGAAAAACACGTGTAAGAGTGTGAATGGTTACAGTTTCTGTGTGTTCCATGTGTGTACACATGCATGTACAGGCTAGAAGTCATGCTGGGTGTCTTCCTCAACGTTCCTCATTATCTGCTATCTATCTATCTATCTATCTATCTATCTATCTATCTATCTATCTATCTATCTATCCTGGCTGGCCTGGAACTTGTATAGCCAGACTGGCTTGGAACTTAAGAGACCAACCTGGTTTTTTGTTTTTTTTTTAAAGATTTATTTATTTATTATGTATACAACATTCTGCTTCCATGTATATCTGCACACCAGATGAGGGCACCAGATCTCATAAGGGATGGTTGTAAGCCACCATGTCGTTGTTGGGAATTGAACTCAGGACCTCTGGAAGAGCAGTCGGTGCTCTTAACCTCTGAGCCATCTCTCTAGCCCCGAGACCAACCTGGTTTTGCCTTCTGTGTGCTGCTATTAAATAAAGGCATGTGCCACTCCACTGGGTTCCATCTTGTTTTTTGAGACAAGTCTTTTACTGACCCAGGGGCTCTTTGACTTGGACCAACAATCGCCAAGGTCCTCTGTCTTCACCTCCCCCGATTAGAGATTATAGGTGAGCAACACTTACCTGGCTTTTGACTTTTTAAAAATTATCAGTGCTGGGGATGAAACTCTGGTCCTCATGCAAGCAAACACTTTACCAACAGAGCTGCCTTCCCTGCCTTTCACAGCTTTTCTAGGTGGTACTTAGACTACTGGAACATGAGGGATGCACAGCAAAGTAATGAGCTGGCCTCGGTTTCCAATCCTAAGTCCTTCTCTGCTTTGCTTGTATGGGAGCATGTGTATCCAGAAGACAGGGGCCCAGTCTGGCCCAGTTTAAATATACCCAGAACCCCAGCAGCACCTCCCTCTGTCTGCTTACTTCTGCTGGTGTAGCCATCCTGGTGAGTTAGCTGGGCCCTCTGCCTCGGTTCCCAGCGTTGGAATAAGTACCTCTCACCCCTATAACCAGAAAGTCACAAACCCTAATTGGTCTCTGAGGCAGGAGTGGAGGAAAAGATCAGCCTTGGAAGGGCTGAGTGGCTTCCATGTGGTCCTCTGGGAAGTGGAGAAGGGATGGAGGGGCAAATGTGAAGACTGTGTAACGAGGTCTTGAATAATTGAGCGTTGAGAGCTGCCAGTATTTCTGCAGACCTGTTGCCTTGGCAACCGGCCCTCCTGACTGCTCTTAGTCTTGACTTTGGGCCGTGGGAGCTTATGCATGGATGCCTGCTAGGGAATGACCAGGGGGAGGGTATGGGGCTCCCCAGCCTTCCAGCCAAACACTTAGCTATTTTTCCTCTTTTGTCCAAAAGTCCAGGGTGGATTGTGGTCATTTTCTGAGCTGAGGACCTCGGAAGTGGGGAGGGGATGGCTGGAGAAGTTCAAGGTTCAGGGACATATATGGACATTTAGCCTCACCCTGCCTTGCAGAGTAGCAAAGAGGGGACAAATGTTCCATCATGTTCCAGGAGGTGGAGCATGCTAGGGTGCCCAGCACAGGAAGTGTCTAAGAATGAACAGGGCGTGATTCAGCCCAGTGGAGGCACTATGGTTTCACCGGGTGGCCTGGTCAGAAAAGGGAAGTGTGACTAACTGTGCTCTTTGGAAAACGGAAGGGAACGCCTACAACACTCAGGCTTCCCCATGAGGAGTATAAGCCTGTGCTCTGAGAGGTCAGTAGCCAGCTTCAAACCTCTGGAGGTCAGGCCATGGGGGGTAGCTACTGAGAAAAGATGCCCACACGGGGTCCCCTCTTACTGCACAAGGAAAGGCCATAGTTCCAAGGGTGGGGCTGGGACTGCAACTTCACTTATTTAAATCCCAGAGGCACAGCTCAGTGAGGCTCAGGGTGATAAGGGGACAGGTTCAACTCCCCAAAAGGCCCTTCTGCTTCTGGGACAGGCATCTAATGGCAGACACCACTTTCCAGGGACACATGTTGGGCTTTCTCAGAGAGCCCAGGCCACCAGGCCAGAAGTGGAGTAGACAAGAGGTTTCTAGTCCCCAGTTGCCTTAAGACACACACATGTAATGTATGATACATTAATACTATATAGTTATACAATCTATCATCTATCAACTATCTACTCTGTTGTCTCTATTATCTATCATCTGTCAATCTATGTATCAATTATCTATGTGGAACTTCATCTCAATCATAAACCAATTAACTTTTTATCTCAAAGTCCACAGTTGACAGTGGGGCTACTCGCATCCTGAATGTTGGGACAATGTAGAATAAAGGATTCCTACTGCCTGGTGACCAGGCAATGCCACTGTTCCAAGATCCCTTTCTTCTCTGTACTGCTTGCTTGACCCTCCCTTCCCTAAGGTCCCTAAACTCTTGGATTTTTTTTTTTTAAACAATCTCCATAGTTTTGTCTTTTCCAGAATCATGAACAGAATTCAATGCATGAGGCTTTTCATACTGGCTACCTTCACTCACTGTCTAGCTAAGTTTCCTCTGTGTGGCTATAGGTCACTATGCCTGTCTTAGGTGGTGCTGAGAGTCCAACCCTGGCCCTTGTGCATGCAAGGGGTGCATTCTATCTACTGAGCTGTAGCCCTAGCCACAAACTTCTGAAACTACTAAGTGCTTTGAAAGAAAGAAACTGCCACAAATTCTTCCACATCCCAGTAGGTCCTAGTAGGAGAGGGGGAGGGGAAGCCACTGTCCCCTGAGGCCCAGACCCTAGGGGGAGTGTTGCTCCTAGACCTGAATACATCAGGAAACAGGTGACAGACAGCTGGTTGTATACTTGGGACGTCAGGAACCAACCAGGCCCAGGCCCCTTATTTAGGACAGCAAGGCCAGATTGGGGGAGGGCTGATTAGGTGTGGGAATCTTGGGAATACACTGCTAGATTTGAGCGGCTGGGATTCCACCTGGAGCTAGTAGCCTGCTCTCGTTTGCTTCTCTGTTGCTGTGATAAAACATGGACCAAAAGCAACTTGAAGGAGGAAAGAGTTTATTTGGCTTATACCTCCTGGTCACAGTGCATCATGAGGGAAGTCGGGGCAAAAACTAAAGCAGGAGCCACAGAGGAGCTTGGCTTATTGTCTCATTTCTGGCTCTTGTTCAGCTAAATCATACAGGGCCCAGAACCTCCTGTGTCAATCA